GACTCAGTTAGTGTACTTAAGTTGAATTTTGAGGTACCTGAACTTCTATTCCACTATATTTCGCATGAAATTATTGTCCTTTTGATAGTGGTTACTAGTAACTTTTTACATAAATAACATGATCTGTGAATATATATTTATGTTCCAGGTCTTCCAGGGACGAATCCCGATGGGCCGGTAGCCCGGTACCGAAGTGGGCCGGTCGGACCACTCGACGCGGCCCACTGCCCCACTCCGATCGGCCCACTTCGGTACAGGTGAAATTGTAATCAGCTTAATGCTTGGCCCATGTATACGAGTGAACGTGGATCGCTTTATTTAGTGATCGGATACGATCGGAAAAGCATTCCATGTAAACGGGGCTATTGATAGGTTGTCAAATTTGTCAATCTTATGTTTTCGAAAGTAGGCTAATAGATGAACTGAAGGGGTTGGGCCGGGAGAGATGAGTCGTCTCTTCCAATTGGAAAGAGGGCGAGGCCCGCGTCAGAGGCATACTTGCCAACCCTCCCGATTTTCGCGGGAGACTCCCGATTTCATTGCCCTCTCCCGGTTTCTTCCCGGAGTCATATTTCTCCCGCATTTCTCCCGATTTCTGACAAAATCAGATTTACTCAGGACTGTTTGCACTCAGACTTTAATACAGCTACACCATTGTTTGGTTTCCGTGGTAGCGCGTCTCTTTAGTAGCGCGTCTCTTTAGTAGCGCGCGCAACTGAAAGTCTGAGAGGGTGAGCCGATAGTCACAGAAAACAGAACAAGAATCGACAACTATACCCTCTGCTCACTCCTTTCCTGAAAAATACAGGTCCAGCCAGCTCCATCAAGGATGGTGCTACAGGCTGCAAGACAGTGTACTTACAACTACAATAAGCATGTGTAGATGTTAATCTAATACAGCTCCGGTGATCCACTAACACCCCCCCCCCGCGGTGGTTTTGAAATGCTCCCGATTTCTGAGGTCTCAAGGTTGGCAAGTATGGTCAGAGGTCCACTCATTAGACAAGCTCCCTAGCTTCGTTTGATGATTGATCAGTAAGTTAGCTAGTGAAATTGAGAAAGACAAGATGGAGAACAGTAAAAAAAGAAAGGGTGGGGCTGAAAAAGCCAGAATGAAAAAACGAAAATTGCCACACGAAGATGCTGGAACATTTTCGAAAATCACAGAGCTGTTTAGTAGAAGGGCTCCCGCTCCCAGTCGCAGTAATAAGGAGGAGAATGAAAAGGAAGATGATGAACCACAGACCCGGCATATAATGACAGCAGGTGCAGGGCTGTGTTAATTTATGTTACTGTTAGCAATAGCATTAGTTGACTGAGAAAACCGTCAAGAAAAAAGTTTAGCGATGTTACGACTAGTATAATATGCCCACGGCTGTGATTGACAACCTGGACAGCCAGTCAGAAGCAAGAATGCCAACCTAGAGAGCCAATCAGAACCTAGAACGGGCTGCAGGGCTGGCCAGACTATTATATTGTGCATACAGTTAGATGCATTAGGATAGAGTCATATGCTCATGATATTCCAAGTTAAATTATATAATATTAATATTATAATTTTAAATAATTATATTAAATAATATTAATATTCAATCATATTAATATTGAATAATAAGGACACAGAGATGTGTGGCCAATTCACTATTGCATTCATTTTAGTGATTGACATTACTGTGCATGATATTGTATTCCTTGAAGTTGGTTATTTAATACTGGACAAGTGCTCTCATAATGACTATTAGAATCATTTGTTGGTTAGACCACATGGCATTGATTGAATATCTGAGCTGCATGTGCATTGGCACTTCTTTTTGTTTACAGCCAGGCACAGGCAACCATTTTTGACTATACCCATTAGCTGTACTTTGTCCTTAATCCCAATTGTACATTCACGTTACTGACTCCTACAGTCAGCCACTTTGACACACTTCACACATGACACGGACATTTTTAAGAAACCTTAACTAAAGGAAGGTTTCATTTTGCACCTTACTCCTGTTGTCCATCTCTTTTATGTTATGGCTTGACTCTGGGGAATCTAGCCATAACAGTATACAGTATATGAGCATAGTAGATGTATCATTTATCTGTAGGCTACAAGGGTGGCCCGCATGTGTGGGCGGCGGCTCGGTGTGTGGGCCGGTGCGTCTGAACGTCCCGGGCTGAATTAGTGTCCCAGTCCGCCCCTGTCTTCCAGTACATATGTGCCCCACATTGACAAATTCAATTATTTAAAAAATAAAGAAACGGAAACATATAATATTGTATAATAAACAACAGTTTTGAAAAAGCAATTCTTACAATGCGTACTTTTATTTGTGTTACCTTAAGTAACATATTGGACTTTACCGTACAATAGAGTATTTTTAGACTGTGATCTATGTGGTCTAGCATCTGAATACTTATTTCATCTCTGACCGGATTCTTCGTATTTTTTTTAGTAATGATATTTTAGTAATTACTAAAATTCTTCGTATTTTAGTAATGATGAACAAGCAATGATTTGTCTGCAGAAAATAGATGGATAATAAATAGCACCTTTCCAAGACTAAAATGCTAAATAATCATGTGAAAATAAACAGATAAAAACGTGTTATGACTTTTGTTGTTTTTCTTCAGTCAGTGGGACAAGTTACCCCACAGCCCTGTCTTGTCAGAACAAGAAGCTATTTCCTGAAACTATTTCACAGTTGTGGTTTCTTCAGTTTGATGCAAGACTAAGGCTTAGAGGAGAACACAATCATATAAAAAGTAATGCATGCATCAATTACATATCTACAGTTGCAGTAGACTTCAAACTGTTGGATGCCAGTTTAGTGTTCACGCATGTGCACGCTGTAGCCACACAATACCTGTGGGTTTGCAACATGCTGCAATTTATGTAGGGGAAATACCGTTTTAAAGTAAGAAATATCCCCCAAAACGTTTCAACTGTATCCAGAGTAAGTGAACGTGTATTTCTCCAAAAATGTGTCCTTTGTAGACTAGGGTGACCAGATGTCCCCGTTTTCTGGGGACAGTCCCCGTTTGTATTGCCCTGTCCCCGGTTGAAACTGTCCCCGTTTTTTAATATACGTTAAAAACACATAGCAAGGTGAAATAAAACGTTTCATGTCAGGAAACACTGGGTAAACAGACTGCGGTCATGCCAGCCCCCACTTCGGAAAACACAGTCAAGCCAGTAGCGATGTGTCGGTCGCGAACGAGCCGGCTCCAAGAGCCGGCTCCAAGAGCCGGCTCTTTTAAGTGAACGACGGGAGCCGGCCCGCGAATGAGCCGTTTTTTGTTAAGTAATACAAGACAGAATGATGATGATGATGATGATCTCCGCGCTACAGCTGCGTGCATGCATGCAGTGACATGTAATATCCAAGGATTAGAGACTGTTGGATGCTGCTGTTTTGAGCATTGCAATATATTTCTTTTCACTGTTATTTATTTATGATTATCCTTAGGCTCAGCAAAGATTTGATGTCAGCTGTTGCTGTCTTTTTTTCTATAGTTAATACAGAAATAGAGCCCTGCTGTTTTGTCAGGGCCTTTTCTTTAAATATAATTTTAAAATGTCGATACAGTAGCCTCTTTTTTTAAATGTCTATGCTTAAGTTTTTATAGGTGTTGCTATCTGTTTTGTGTAGCGTGGTTCTACAAGCAAGTCAGTGCATTCATTGGGTGGTATCAGAGAGTTACAAGGGTCTGTAAATGCAATGAAAACATTTGGCCACAGAAAATCATTTATTAAACATGTCATTCTTACTTTTGAATACTTCAGTACAAAGGATGTATTGAATAATTTAAGTGATATATGTGTACACATATCATTAGTCAAAACAGGGCTACATTTGATTGAATTATAAAATGTATATGTGGTAAAATGAAGAGCCGTTAGGGAGATGAAAGAGCCGGCTTTTCTTGGTGAGCCGAGCTAAATGATCCGGCTCACTAAAAAGAGCAGGAATTCCCATCACTACTACAAACTATGTTTGTGCGTTCTCGTGAAGGGTCACCCACATCAAAGGCGCTGTTTACACCGGAACGAAACGGGTTGTATGTGCTACTTTTCTCTTTCGTATAGCCCGTTCGTTCACACGAGGCCGTAACGGAACCGCGGAAACGGACCCCTAAAACGATAACGGGTCCCAAGGTGGATAGATCTGCGGACGGAACGCTCTGGGGGGCCAAACGGCTCCGTGTGTACGTCCCACGATCATTTCCTGATAACGATGAAGCCATATCCCCGCCTCTCCCCACCTCTGCTGTAGCATGGTCAGTAGAGCTGTCAGTAGCTACTGACCATGCTACAGATGTTAGTGCAAAATCTACAGCTCCTCTACCACAACCATCAGCAACAAGTGGACATGGAGAACTACATGAACAACATGTTGCTAAATCCACCCCGGAGAATAAACAGAAGGGCAACCAGGCAAGCATGGCAACCATGCTCGGGGGGTTTCTTCGTTGCTTTTGGTGTATTTTGTGGTGGAAGTACAGCGCCACTTACAGGGCCGGCATATGTACTACAGCGGGACAAGCGGTCTCGCGTGAAGGGACACGTTTATTGAGCCGTATCCGTGTGAACTGAAGACTTTTTTATATCGAATTCGGTTCGTTTGCGTTCCCGTGGGGCTATTCCAAACCAACGAGTGTGGGGTGGGGGTGGCTGAACAGGCCCTCCAACAGCGAGTCTACATCGGTCCTGTTTTCACCTGCTGCCCTACCTGAACATGTGCCGGCTGTTTGTGCTATCAGGGAACATGCTGTGTACAAATATTTCCATGCAAACATTTACTTATAAACAGCACAAAGACATTTGATATTGTTATACTGATTTGAACTTGAAGGTTACATTGTATTCTTAATTGTATACCCGTGTCTAGTCTAGAAAACAGTAGAATTGTTAATTAGTTTGTGAAGTTGTGTTTATTTACAGGGACTGTTGCAGAAACCGAGCACCTCATAGACATCAGATTTAAACAAAAAGAGTTACACATTTTTCTGTAATTTTTATTGATTTTTTGTCCGAAATATGCTGACTTAAAACCGTTGTTATGAAAATGTAAGACATTTCCTGTTCCTGTCGAAGAGAGGGGACAGGGGAGTTTGTCCAAAAGCTTGTCTTGGGAGGGTGAAGGGGTCAGTTTGGAATTCAGCCATCAATTAGGAGCTCTTCAATTTGAAGGTGGTGAAATCAAGAGCATATGGCATTGCCTTCAGTTCTGATTTTAACCACTATGAAACAATCACAGCACCCAGAACCACCAGTTTGTAAACGGGGATTCTCCGTTTCTTTTGGCAAGAGTTTTTGGTCCTTAGCAGCTGCCAGTAAGACTTTTAAGTGTTCAAATATTTACCTTCATTCTATCATGGTATGAATCTGTGTTGTTTGGTGAATTAATGCCAAAACCTTCTCAATCTGGTGAATTTTAAGATGTGTAACAAGGATGATTCAAAGATCATGTTTTGTCGCAATGTGTGATTGTTTTTCTGGTGTTTTTTTGGAAACTTATATTATTCATTCACAACTTTGTAAATGTTTAGAGAGCAGATACAAAGCTGTCTCTTCAAATGTAACCATTATTTGCTGATGATTAAAGCATATGTACAAATGTTAATTGCTGATTATATTTAGCCTATACTGATGTGACGTTCACGAACGATCCGATTCTTTTGAACGGCTCTTTGGTACGAACGAAGGGAACCGAGCCCTATGTTCTTTTTATCGATGTTTCACTGCCTGCCATAAATCCACTCGTCTTTACGGGAACTTGCTTTCCTGAATGCAAATGTGCCATAGATCATGGCATAACGCATACTGCTTGAGTAGTAGTTTGGCTGCCTGAGAGATGTAGCAAGTTAAACATTTTCTGTGAGTAAAAGTAGATTTCTGGCAATAGTCAATCATTATCCTGGTGATTATTTCGCAGATAAACCTATTAACCCCCCCTTTAAAAAAAAAAACCAAGCTCTTTTGAACGGCTCTCGGAAAGGAACGGAGCCATAACATCCGGCTCCCTTCAAAGAGCCGTAATTCCCATCACTATTAGCCTAAGGCTCAATGCAATATTTAGGATGTTTTGATTGGTAGGGGGGTGCACAGTCTGCCATTACACCAGCTATTACAAATATTCCTCATCCTTTAACAGCTTTCATACGTGTGTGAGCCACTGTACCGCCGTCACGCTGCTCTGTGTCAGTCAGCAGGGATCTGTGGTAGATCTACGCAGACAGTACTCTGCCTCGTGGTCTCTGTGTCATCCTGCTGGAAAACGGTTATGCGTCATGACACGTTCTTAATTGATGGCTAGTGTTACGTATGTATTTGAAAAGGAGCACTCCCAACGATAAAAGCCCACTGGTTTCACAACTACTTAAAAGTGAGAAAAACAATTAATTGTATACAATCTGTCCCATTGAATGACACTTTGTTCCCTTTTCACTATGTTTGAAGCAGATTTAATTGCAAATCAGGTAGTTAATTCAGCAAAATTTGCCATAATATATCTGATTGTTGAAAAAAATCAGTTATAACATGAAAATAAACCCAATCATGTATTTAAAGATGTGCTTTTCTTTGTGCATAAACATTTATTCTAACACTTGTTCTCCCTTTTATTTTATAATAACAGTTTTTTAAACATGGAAATTCCCTAAAGCACAATCAACAGTATATCCTCCAAATGACTCATTTTGAACATACTAATGTACCTGTAGCTTTTCCATTGCTGCCTGTTCGGTACCATGTCACACTGTGACAATGAGAATCTATTACCAGATGTGCCTAGTAGGAGGCAACATTGCCTATGCCTTTATCAAGCAGAATTATGCAACTTGTTCCACTCCTGGGTAAACTTCATCTATTATATGTGGCATGGTCTATAACCCCTGAGGCAAATTTAAAAAGAGCAATAGATTAAAAACCTTTATAAAATGGCAGTCTTTCTGACTTAGACTGATGTCAGGTATATTTGGCCACATACTCAAAATTGAGCAGTTATATAAAGTAAGCTGTTTCATTATGCTTGTCTTACAATGGTTTGTTTAAAGCAAGTCTGAGATAATATCTACGAAATAAAAGCAGAAGTCTCTACATTGACACATTCAGGACTTTAACTAATAAAGTATATGCTGCCAATATGAGTGAACACCTATTGTTTATGACTTTTAGCAATAGAAATCCAGCCCATGTTTATGTTTTTCGTCCAAGGAGATGTTTTGGTGACCAGAGTCAGATTTAAATATGGACCTTCTCTGCAGCCCGGGGCTTTCATGTGAGGTGAAGAGGACAGGTGAGGAGCTTTGCTCCTGTCGTCGGACGGATGTGTTGGCTTCATCCTGAGCTGGAGAAGGCCAGGCAATACTGGAGAGGTCTACAGAGGGCCTCAAGTCCAAAAGAGTGTCCCTGATCTGCTGGTTCTCCCGGGTCGCTGCCTGCCACACCACCTCCAACTCTTCCTCTATTTCCCTGGAGGAGACAAGAGAGGAGAGAAGACAAGGAAGCCAGTCAGGCGAGCCGATACAATGACTTACATATATATCAAAACACAACAAACTTCTGGAAATGTAATTCAACCAGAAAGGCAGAGCATAATACAAAAAAATAAAGGCTGAAAAAATAAAATGGACCTAAATGATTTAAAAGAAAAAACAATCTGGTGATCCATTTTCTAAGTCTGTTCTTAATTGTTTCTACTTCTTGGGTTATGGTTATGAGCAGGATAAAAAAGATGTTGGCCAACAGGAGCAAATGCGCAACAACGGCCCCAAACATTTCCATTAAGAGAAACACGCTGTAGTTTCAAAAAAAATGCAAATTAAAAACACAAATGTGCCAAATCAGTTGCAAATGAAGAAACATCTTCACCAACTTCACAACACATGGGCAGCATTTATTACATTATTATTACATTGCATTTAGCTGACGCTTTTATCCAAAGTGACTTACAATAAGTGCGTTCGACCAACAAAATACAACTTGAAGAAAACAGAATCATATAAGTACATCAGGTTTCATAGAGCCAAACATTTCAAGTGCTACTCAACTGGCTTTAGATAAGCCAGCCCTTTATTAGTATAAAAGTGCTTCGTTAATAGTTCTATCGCTCGAAGTGGAGTCGAAAGAGATGAGTTTTCAGTTTGCGCCGGAAGATGTGCAAGCTATCTGCCGTCTTGATGTCAATGGGGAGCTCATTCCACCATTCTGGAGCCAGGACAGCAAACCCACGTGTTTTTGCCGATGGGAACTTGGGTCCCCTTCGCAGCGAGGGCGCAGCGAGTCGTTTGGCTGATGCAGAGCGTAGTGCACGCGCTGGGGTGTACGGTTTAACCATGTCCTGGATGTACGAAGGGCCAGATCCATTCGCAGCATGGTACGCAAGTACCAGTGTCTTGAAGTGGATTCTAGCAGTTACCGGAAGCCAGTGAAGGGAGCGGAGGAGCGGAGTAGTGTGGGAAAATGTAGGAAGGTTGAAGACCAGACGAGCCGCTGCATTCTGGATGAGCTGCAGAGGTCGGATGGCACATGCAGGTAGACCAGCCAGGAGGGAGTTGCAGTAGTCTAGGCGTGAGATGACGAGAGCCTGGACCAGAACCTGAGTCGCTTTCTGTGTCAGCTGGGGACGTATCTTCCTGATGTTGTAAAGCGTGTATCTGCAGCAACGGGTTGTAGCAGCTATGTTTGCAGTGAAGGACAGGTTGTTATCTAGGGTCACACCCAGATTCCTTGCAGTCTGAGTCGGGGAAACAACTGAGGTGCCGATGTTGATTGTTAGGTCAAGAGTGGGACAATCTTTTCCCGGAAGGAAGAGCAGCTCAGTCTTGTCAAGGTTGAGCTTGAGGTGATGAGCATTTAGAACACATTAACCAGCTGGATGAAACATGCACAGCGTTTACTGAAACAACGCATTATAAAGTCTGTGTTATTGGAAAGTTACCCAAAATGTAAGCTTTGTTGTCTTATTTTAACAATTTATTTACAGGATTCCTTCCAAGATTATTGCAGTTCTGCTGTAAGCTAGCTAGCTAGCCTAGCTAACATAGTCATATTAAATATACTGACAAAACACTTAAAAGGCTAACTGTTTCCAGGGACATTTTATTTTTCCTTCAGGATCCTTTTTCCTGATGTACTACTCACTTTTGCCTCATATGCTGGAAAGTTCACCTGCTAAAAACTATTCCAGGGGAAAGTCAGGGGAAAACACTTTATTACATACCAAACTTTTTGCTCATTTGCTTCTCTGGGGCTTTACGTACAGTAAATACATGAAATACAGAAGAATAAAAAAACGTAGACTGAGTTAACCCAACACATTAAAGGCAAGTGTGTGTTGGAGTTAGGAAAGGTGGAAAACAGGTGACATGTGGTGGTAATGAAGCTCATTCATACATCACTGTGACTGCAGTGTGATCAGGCTGACCACAGGAAGACCAACTGTTCATCCCTACTTTCTTAAAGGGACCATGTCATGCTTTTCCGGTTATTACCCATCCCCTTGTATGTTATGAAGGTTTTTCTGCATGTAAACGGTCTGCAGAGTCAAAAACCCTCAAAGTACACCCTGTAGCGAGTACAACTCTAACAAAAAAAAAAACTATGCTGCCCCAGAACGCCTCGTTGGAGATTTCTCATTTTCCATTGTTTTCTTCCTGGGTTCTGTGACATGTGAATACCCAGATCAACAACAAATGACCGGATTGGCCCAAATGGACCAATCCGCAGAGCACCTCACACACCTATTCCCTATTCAGGGTTCATACACTTTTTCACCAATGATTTTCAATGACTTTTCCATGACTTCTCAATGACCTTTACCTCATTTTCCATGACCAAAAAAAAATTACCACTGAAAATGGTTTATTTTAACATGGAACAGAAAAATAAGGTCTGCATATGAAACATGTTGTGCCTATCAAATCAAATAGTAGGCTTACTATCTTCTACACGCTAAAGCAACTGTAGTCAGGGAGGTAAAATCATCAGGTATGAAAAAGGTGACAAGGACCCGACCCCTGACCCCACGGGATATCGGCTTTAAAATGAGGAATAACAGGATGTTAGCAGTCAGAACAACTAAAGCAGCAGGTAATAATAACTACTTTGTAGTAGGGATGCTCCGATCGCCAATTTCGGGGCTGATCGCTGATCGTCGATCGCCGGAATCAGTATCGGCCGATACCGATCGCCGATCCGATCGAGTGGGCGGGGCCCAGTGGCGGTTCTAGAACATTTTACATGGGGGGGCAAAGGGGAGGCAAGAGGTCATGCCAGGGTGGCATGGGAGGGCGGGCAGTACGTGGTATTTTATACTGTATATAACCTATTTATTGTTAATTCATGCCCTAACACAAGTGTTCTTAATGCACAAGAGAAACAAGGTGTTCAGACAAACAATCGGGTGCCCTTTGAGTCCCCCAAGCTTACCTCAACCATTTTAAATGAAAGGAAACTACAAAATTTATTTTAAAGCAATGAATTAATGGAATAGGTTGTTTTGCATTACAATGTAAAATTAAATATATATTTTGTTTTAAAAAAAAGTGGTTGTCTTAGACAGACATATTTGCATGTCCTCACTAAGCATTATTACATATTCATTTAATATTAAACAAATCAAAATGGCCAATTATCCCAAAAATGTTGCTGCTAATATAATCACATACTTGTCAACTTTAACTGATCAAAAATCAATTCTGAAAAAATACTTGAATTATCTATGAAATTGCAATATTGTCCCTCAGTTTGTTTCAACCCCGTCACGCCATACCATTTACCCTCCTATTAAAATAATGGATCAGTCCATGTGTGGATCAGTCCATGTGTGATCTGCATTGAGGGAATTACATCACAAAAGTGTCAGTTTCTTCTCTTACCTATATTTCAGTTTTTGTATTTTCAGATTAAGATTGACAAGCTCAACATTTCAACTCTGTTGTATGAATTAATAATAGTGAATAATTGTTTATTACAAAAATAAACAATAGTTTTGCAAAATATTACAATTTTGTAATGTCCTTGACTTCCATGTGGTGCCATATCTTAGCTAAACAAGGTCTCATGCCTACTTTTTGTCAAAAACTTGACCGGCCAAATTACGTCAGAATTATCAACATTCAATACTTAACAGACCTACTAAATATCAGGTTTAACTGTCAGGAGTAGTGTTGTCACGATCCCAACATTTTGGTTTTGATACCAAGTCAAGAATTGCGATTCCGATTATTTTTCGATACTTTTCTTAAAAAAAGGGAAACAGTCTTAAATGTAATTATTGTGCTTTATTTCACACCAGAACCATAACCATAACACAATCTTTTAAACAATGAGAACAATAAATAAAATAAATGACAAGAATTCGTATTAAATCAAATTAAAACATCTCTTACAGACAGGCCTCGTGGTGTCCGTAGGCTTGCCCTCACTGTCAGAGATATAGCTAAAATACATCAAAATTTCGCTTCTGGCGTCTTTTTTGTCAACAAGCCGAGGCGCAGCGGCAGTTGCACTCCCTATTGCAGCCATGCTTCTCGTTTTCTCACATGCTCTGGCAGCTAGCGCGTGCATGAGAGAGGGGAGGGACTTAGAGCGTGCTTGAGAGGGGCGGGACTGCAGGCACGGCTGCAGTGCAGGGATTGGAAGCAGAGCGCTGAACACACGGCTCTTATTAAAACGGCGCTTTCTCACCGGAGTACTTTTCCCCGTCATTCTTAAAGAGCCTGTGACACGAGTTTCCCCCATCATCCAAACCCATCAATTTGAGTAAATATTGTCCCCTTGAAAACCGTTACTGAACTGATTTTGGATATTTGTACTTTGATAACCATTAATCTGCCCTTCAATGTTGACCATTTCCTGGATCTGCTCGGGGATTCTTCAAGTCCCGCCAAATTACGTGTGACGTCATTGCGGGCACAGCGCTCCAGCTGCACCGTTCAGGATCCCAGCATCTGCATGTAAACGCACGATGGTGCACACAGCAGCAAGCTCAGACAGCGATGACAGTTTAATGTTGAACGTGTCTGAGAGCTCATATGAGTCTGAAGGATCGCTTTATGTTGTATCTGTTAGAAGTTTAGGAATTAGGTGCGTCAATATGGGCGATCATACGGTCATGTAGCCAGTGGTGGAATGGGACTAAAAATCATCCCGGGACTCTCGACCGGCCCACTTCGGTACCGCTAGTAAATTGTCAACGGGGGGAGTGGGGGATGTCAGGGGCGGCGGGTGCTGTAGATAGTAAATGTAAATATGTAAATATTTGTGTCACTGCATCCTGGTAAAATACAAATATAATGCAATGTCTGTGTCTTTGACATTAGCGCTGCTAGCCACCTGTGCCCTGTACTACGAAGCCAGTTCAACAGACCCTGAATATGTTTGAGTAACAAACAAACTAACAACAAACTAAAAAACGAGATCTCGCTAAGCGGTCCTACGACGCTGGTTATCAACTCGGTAAATCAAGC